GATTGAGAAACAATGTTACCGATGATAATGATGAAAAATCTTCTTTTTTTTTTTTTTTTCAGATAAATATCGATTGGATCGATCAATGGTTGCGAAGGATATATTTATTATGTTTCGACGAGGTAATGGATGATTAATCGAGGAGGACGATGTTGTCACGGATTGTATTATGGCCGAGTTGTAAACGCGCCCATTCATGGAACACTCTCGGTCTGAGGGACCGGGCGAGACTGGCGGAAGAAACGCGCGCGTGCCGCTTGGGAACACATAGGGAACGCGGAACGCATGTCAAAATGAAATGTCTAGAGGGAAGGTATACACAACATCCTTGCGAAGGATCTTGAAAATTTCTCTCTTTAACTGATTGGATGATGGGATTGGAAATTCACGGGATTCGCCGAAGGGACGAAGGGACGAAGGGAAAGAAAAATTTCGAGGAATTGAGGAGGAAATATTGAAATCGATGGAATTTAAAAATACGTAAAGTTTGACGTTTTTTGAGTGACGTGTATCTGAGAGTATCTGAAGGTAACAGTTAATGGAGAGAGTGGAGGGGGGAGGGGAAAAGAAAAATGTTGAAAACTTGAGTTTACCAAGAACTGTGTTCAATAAAATATGGAATATGTTGTTTCTTTTTATACAATTGTAAGTATTGAAAGTAGGGAAAATGTATGGTGTTGTATTGATAGAAGTTTTTAAATAAAGCGAGTGTAATTAGATATGGAAGCTTTTATGCAATTTAAAGTTTTTATTAAGTAAAGTGTGAATTAGGTCACTATTTTGTGTCACGGGGTATTCGAGTCATTAAAACTTTTCATATTTGACATTCTCGTTAAAAATTATTTTTTGATGTAATTAATATCAGGATGAATTGGTGGAGGAGGAAAATATAATGATAAAATGCGAATATGAAAGAAAATAATTAAAATAAAATGTGATATATTAAATTTTTTTTTTTTTTTTTGTATCATAAATTATATTAATAAGATTTTTAAATTTGAAATATCATAGTGAAATATTTTTTTTAAATTTTACAATATTATTCATTTATCATTTAATAATATTTCATCATAAAAAAATATAAAAAAATCAACATTAAATTAATTTTTTATTATATTATTTGAAGGAACCATAAAAGATTTTTTATTTTTGTGTTTTATTACCGACTGAGTATAGAATAAGATTGCAACACAACTAGCGAGAAACTAGCAAAGAATAAATTTATCCATATTCTGAAATACCGACTATATAACGAATCAAGATATTCTTTCTATACATTTTGAAAAATAAGTTTAAAAATTATATGACAATTAAAGTTGATAAAGTAGAAAAAAAATTCTCTTCTTTTACAGACTCATATAAAAATTACATTTTATATGATAAAGATAAATCTGAATACAATCTTATTAATTATTGTGACAATTATAAGTTTTACCTTTCATATAAAATATGAAAGATATAAATTCCCAAAGAATTTGAGCAATTTGGCGAAGAAATTCGCGAATGATTTCAACCAATTGATGGAGAAGAAGGATATAAATGTGAAAAATTTGCATGGACACGCTTTCCATCACATTGAAGGAAAATTACTGGATGAAACAATCTTTGTTCGTAGATTGGTTGGAGAATCATTTCAAGTCAAGAGTAGAACAGTATCAAACTCGAAACGAAATATCCAGTAAGGTTATTTTGTTGGTCGGCGATATTAAGGCGCACGAAATTGCAGTGGGCGTGAACAAAGATGATCGTTTCAGAAGAGTACCGCCCACGATAATACGTTCCTTGTTCAACCAATGGAACAGGGGATATTACACAACGAAGAAATTGTATCGACATAAAATATTGTAAGCACTTTTAAGATACAAAGATGGGATGAAAGAGTTTTATAAGAATATTAGAGCTTGCATAAATACGTTGTGCAAATCGTGGACAGAGATAACTGCGGAAAATATAAAAGATGCTTGGAATAAAATTCTCACGTTGCCTCCAAAACAAACTGGAACAACAGATTTACTTGGATCGGAGAATCAAGCGGTGATCGTCGGTACAACGAAATTGAAAGAGAAGAAGTTGTGGAAAAATGTGTCGGACAATTTTTATTCGTATGCAAAGAAGAGAAAATAATTCCGAATGAAGAGTTTCAAATAGAAAATGTCAAAGAGGTTAATGAATTTGGAGAGGGTGAGGAACAGAGGGACACGATTAATCAAGAAGATTAAAAGTTTTAATCTTGAAGTAAATGAAGTGCAATCAGATAAGCAAAAAATAGATATAATTTGTAAATAAGAGGAAGTGATCCTCGAAGAGGAGGCCAATGAATCGAACAAGGAACGGAAGGAGGATTGGGACGAAACTTCTGTTAATGAATTGAAACGTAAATTTCAGCGTTTTTCTTAGAGTGAAAGAGTTTGAAACATTTTAGTTTAAATGAGTAAAGAAAATAGAAAGTTAAAAAAAATTAAATAAGTTAAGGAATAGTTAATTTTGTAAATTTCAAAAAATATTAAATATATATTATTTGATTTATTTAATATAATATATTAGTCAATATATAATGTAAGTCAATAGGTTTTAAAAATAATTTTTGATACAATCTTGATATTTTTGTTCGGTATATTTATTGAAATGTATTCATAGATCTTTTAAATGTACAAATAAAGAGCAAACAGAAAGGTAGAATAAAAAATTCAAGTATTAGCGCCATCTCGTGTACTGCAGAAGAAACGAATATAGACGAAGAGAATAAATTACATAGAGACAAGGATGGAGATAAGAATTGATTATTAGCGCCATCTTTTAAATATCGAAAACATCTGTTCAAAGATTGGATAAAATAAAGTAAGAATTAAAATTTAGCGCTATCGTGTATTATAGAGAAAAATAGTAGATAAAAAAAATAATTCGCACGAATTAACAGCAACTTTGGAAAAGTAAAATAACAACTAAATATCTGCACTATCTCTTGAGTATTCTTAAAAAAATGATCCTTTAAAGAAATATCTTTGATACCAATCAATTCTTATTCTATCTTTCTTCTATTATTATATATTTATTTTCCTTATTTATATTAATTTTATTTGCACTCTGAAGATGGCGTTGATTTCACAATTTTTATCTTTATCCTTTTCTTATTATCGACTTTCCTTGTTTATATTTACACGTGAAAATAATAATAAAAAAATGTCAATTTTCAAATAATTCAAATAATTTATTTTATTTAATCCATTTTTTAACATTTTTGATATAACTTTTACATAAGAAAGAATTAAAAAAGGGATTAAAGATACGAATAAATTTAATAAAGAAATATTTTATATTTCGAGTCAAATGCAAAACATAAAAAAAAAGAAATCTATTTATATTGAAATATTATTGTTTTTAGGTATCAATTCTACCTACAATTTCAAACCATTGTCGTAATGCATCACTCAACACAACAGGCAAGCTATTCAAATCTCTAAGAATAATGTAAAATGGAAATGGAAAGTTATCCATGTAGGAACGTATACCTAATAATTTACCACCATCAAAAACTGGCATCCTAATATCAAGTATCGAATCCTAAAAAAAGAATATATAATAAAAACAAAATTACAACATATAATTGTACAAAATATGATAAATAATATAAATTTTCTCATTTACCTTGTTGAGAGGATTATCGACTATTATGAAGACGAGAAATATATTCAACAATTTAGCTTTTCTCACAGCTGTAGTCACTGTTTCTATCCCTTCGGAGAATATTCCTCTACCATCCGATAAAATAGTAACCAATTTGGCATTGTCAGAAGAACTGCTTTGAGATGCGAACATTTCTATCGTGAAATCAAGCAATTGACCAATCATTGTCTTTTTCTGTTCAAATTTCATTTCTTGAATCAACCTGGAAGATTTAAATTCTCCTTAATCGTTACTCACATTTAGATTTATTCGAATGTTTATCACAATTATAATTATAGACGCTTACCTAGCGCCACTTTCCTCTGTAAAGTTTTCCCCGAAAGGATGAAGTATGTTCACCCGTTCCCCGAAATTGACAACAGCGAGTTGACCAACCTCCAAATAAGTCATAGCTTTGCCAATCAACGAGAGCGATTCAAATGCCAATTCCTTCGAATGGTTGTCGGCCATACTGCTCGAATCATCGATAGCCAACACGATCTGATAATCTCTTTTCGACGGTTTCGTACGCCTCAACCAAATTTTATCTTTACGAAATTCACTGGCTATATACGGGATCACTTTTCTCATGTTTATACGCTTGCCAGTTCTGTAATCGCCTTTCAATCGAGAAGTTAACGTCGGTTCCAATACCAAACGTAATTTTTCCGACAATTCCCTGGCAGCTGATTCGGTTATGGCGCTTATAGAATTCCAAGCATTCGCCGCCTCTATCGAAGACGGCCCATGAGACCATTGGCCCAACATATTTTCTATCTCGGACCTCTTCTTTGCAATGTCATCCGTGGAAACGTCGTGCAACTCTGTCTCCGATAATTTTGTATGAATGGTAGATTCATTCCCTCGTAAAACACGAATCGTTTCCACGTTTTCCCCTTCAACTTCACCCCCTATCTCGATTTGCTGCTCCGCGTCGTCCGCTCTTTCGCCTCTCGCGTTCGTCGATTTTTCTTTCTTACTTTCAGACAATTTCTGAGATTGTTCCTTCTTCGTTTCTTCCTCTCGATCGTTCGGTTCTGGATCCTCGTGCATTTTAACGTCATCGTCTTCCAATTGATCGTCCATTTTATCCTCTTTATCTGAATACAATTTATATACGAGTTTATATATCGTTCAAGAGAGAGGAAAATTGAAATATAATTTTTGAAAAAACTTGAAGAAGAAAGAAGAAACCTTTTACCTTCCAAGTTCGATGCCTGTTTCTTAATTTGTTCCTCGGTCGCGGCATCAAAAGCGTAATCGTCGTGTTTCTCTGAACTTTTGATATGCTCGTAAGTCTCGCTTTCACCGCCGCCTTTATTCTTCTCACTTTCCTCCTCGGTGTCTCGATCATGTATCTCGGCGGTTTTTAATTTCTTTGCTGAAGATCGGGCGTCGTCATCGGGCAAGCTACGTTTTTCATCGCTCTGGCCTGGTCTTCTTCGTTTCGGTGCTTGTTTCAAAGATACCTCTTCGCCGGAAGTAGGGACGTTCTCCTCCTGCTTAGATCCAGAATGTCCCTCGCGTTCTTCCGTTTGCGATTGACCCGTTCCTTCAAAAAACAACGAAACGAATTACATTCGATATAATTTTCACAAATATAAAGTATCAAACTTTTTTACCTTTATCCTTTTTACTCTCCATGCTATTTTCCGTGGGATTTATCTCCATTTGCTCCTCGTTCGATCGACTTTCCACCGCATCCCTCGAGCCATCTTTCCTCGATTCAACTTCCTGAGAGGCGTCCACCTCTTTGCTACCCGCGTCGAAACTCGCTGGCGCCACATCTTCCTCCGTATTCTCTTCTTCCACGTTCTTCTCATCTTCTTTCTCTTCCTCCAGGTTTTCATTTTTCTCATCTTTCTCAACTTTCTCCTCTTTTCTTTTGTCCAAGTTTGAATCTTCTTCCTCCTCGTCATCATCATCATCATCATCATCATCACCAGACTCCTTTCTTTTATCTTCGTCAGAGCCTTCTTTCTCTTCAGTCTCCTCCTCCATTTCTTCCGAAATTTTCGACTCCTTCATCTGATCGATGTCGAAGGGGTCTTCCTCCCCTTCGCCCTCAGGATTGTCTTCCTTCCCTTCCTCGTCCAGATTAACATCCTCCGGAAGCTCGAAAGGTTCCGGCTCTATTTCCGGCCTAATTTTTCCGTGATACGGATCTATCTGATCCTCGTTTACCTCTGGCTCTTCGAATTCGTTGATCTCTTTCTTCTCTTCCCCCTCCGTCTCCCTTTCACCCTCCGTTTCCTCGTCCCCATCTTTACCTTTACCCTCGTCCTTCGCGCTCAATTCCTCTTTCCCAGTTTTCTCACCTCTCCCCCTCTCCTCCTTTTCATTCTCCTTATCCTCGTCCACCTGCTCCTCCTCCTCCTCCTCCTCGTCCTTCCAAATCTCTTCGTCCAATTTGTCGGCAGTTTCATCGGTCTCCCCCATTTCCTTATCGATGTCGCCGTCCTCCTCGTCCTTCTCTTCCTCCTCTTCGTCCCTTCGCCCCTCGATGTCCTGCACCGTCCCTTCGAAATCATCCGACATCTCTATCCCTTTCTCCTCCTCCCTCATCTCCTTCTTCCCTTCCTCCTCGCCCCT